GTGCGTTCCAATAAGTCTTCCTACCAATATGACCATGTTGCGAAAACAAGGTAAAACAACCTCTATAAGTAGTTCCTACTTAACTTTATATCACCGTTCTTCACATTAGACGTATTTCTTAAGCTATTAATTTCAATAGCCTCTCCTATCTAACTTTTAACTGCAGACGTGCCATAATCAGCAAACCTACTAGTTCTAGACCATTTTATCTCATGTACAGGTTCTACCATGTATTTGGCCACTTGTGACCATTGGGCCCAGCTTCCTTTGCAAGCATTCTTGTGTTATCCCAATCTTTGTCGAATAGGCATGTCTCACAAACATACCATCGACCACATGAGTAAGCAGTCTTGTTGCAGCCGGATTTCGATAATGGGTTATATTTATCTATAAAAGATGTCATAACCAATGAAAGTTTGAGGTTTTTCTATGTACACACTTTCTAATTAGTTCGCCTATATTTTTTGAAAGAAGGAATGACGACAAGATAAAGACATGGGAAAAGGTCTCCGCTTGTCTATCTTTTACTAACTAATCTGTATGAAAATTTGTTCCTTAGTAAAAAGATAATATTCTGAATTAGTCCCAAAGGATAATTATTTTCCAGGGATATATTTTTCACTCGTAAATGCGTTGCCATCAGCTAGTCTTATACTCTTAATAATCATAGGACCGTTATTGCGTATAGACGTAACACATACACATATACATTTTTGCGCAAAAGTAGACTGCCCAATGTGAAAGGTATTAGCCAAACTATTCTATATCTATCTATGCCTATTCATTTTAGTCTTATAGCTAGAGCCAGATATTCTTCTTGACCTAGTTTTAGCGCGAGACTTTTAGATGAATGAGTTCTAGCTCTGGTATATGTTCATCATATCATGGACGAAAGCTCGGCCCGTTTTTACCCGAAGCGAGGGAGGATGTCTCATAGACTGTATCAACCTGAGTTTGTATTAAAGCCAAACGGCTGAAGTACAACAGGAATCAGCGATCGTCTTCTGCTGAGATCAGCTTACGAATCTCTTCTTCGTGCACTCATCCGAAACGAAGGTCTCCCCAACTATTTTATCTCATGACATTAATCGAAACCCAGTTACTTTTCGTATCTAAAACTTTTATATATTTGCGAATGACTCACTACTATGCATTTGGCATGTATACATTTGATGGTTATTCATTCCTTTGTAATCAGAAACATCAAATTTAATATTATACTTCTTCTTTTATGTAGGTAAAATTTTTTTGGCTCTAAAATAAGTTTTTTGTTGCCTTGTGAAGATATAGTAAAAGTATTAACGGCGAGCCCTGATACCAGTACCAGATTTGATGCTATATTTCTTTTTTAGACAAACTATTTTCTCGACTTTAAAATAAACTTGTACAAAAATTTTACAGTCACTGCATTAAATTCTTAATGGTATTCTGTAACCAGCGATCCTCAGCATTTATGCCTGAATCATGCATATATTGTGGCTGAGCATGTCTCTCCTGTTGAGTTGAATAGTTCCTCAGCCGGATTTGTTGGACTCAGCTCATTACTTGTGGATTTACTAATTAACTCAGCCCCTTCGGTTCCTAACTCCACTTCGACTTTGGATTGTGCTACTATTAAAGTAAATGCAGAATCTGGCCCCCAAAAGTCGAGCATCGATACCAGTGAGCTGCAGACAGCCACAGTACTAATTCGGCAAGTTGGTCATCTGCTGCGAACAAATAAAACTGTTGCTCAATCTTTGCTGACCGAATTTAGCTACCGTATATTCTTTGATCGCCTGGAGTTCTCATCACCTTCTGCACCTTGCAAAATTTCGAGAGAGGTATGTGCACATTTGTTCTCATTCCGTTATTGATCTCACCAAATTCTGACTTATCTAATCCATGAATTTCTATGAGGATAATAGGCAACTCTGTTGCAGAAATTAGTTTCGAACAACTTTTCAGGATGTTCTTGTCTCTGCACTTATTACTCTTTAAAAAATGTCATTTAAAAAAATTTTCCCTTTCTCGATAAAACATTTTAAGGATAAATACTGGCTAAACATAAAATGAGCCACAGAAATCTTTGAGTCCACATATTGAACTCCTTCAATACTTAGCCAATGTAAGTCACCAATCTAATCTCTAATCTAATTTTGGGATACAGTTAATTCAAATTTTAAGACAACATTAAAATTCAATTTATCTTGATAAGATTGGTTTAGAAAGCTTAATATTAATTATCAGGTTGGTAGAGAGGACTAGTTAGTAAATAATAAAAGAGCTATCTAGCAAAAGGTTTGTTAATCAGATTGAAGTTCAGTTTGGGCTCTATGCGTCAGAGTTGAATATGTATTTTTATTTAATACCCTCTTGAAATCACATGCTATAACATATTTTGCGTAACTTAGCCTTGTAAAAATAAAGGCATGGAATACCGACTCACAGATATGACGCATCCTTGCACATGTCATAATTCATTTCACTTACTCATGAATCACAGATTTGACATCACACCAAGCTTTTGCTGCTATTTCCACTTTCTGGATCCGATTGCATTATCTTAGGCGTTGACATGTGCCAAAGAGAACGAACGATCTGTAGACAACAGGTGTGTCTAACTGGAGTAAGCGGAAGAGATCCAGAGCTGCGAAAGATGAATTATAACTATCTTGGATCTCGATATATTGTTTTTTTATTTTAAGAAACCGGGAGTGTAAACTCTTACTGTTCCGAAGTGTTTGCAGTGCGCATAATTGCTTCTATGCATGGGCGGTATCTTTTACAGAATCAGACGAGCAGTGATGTAAGCAGCATAATGGATATTAAGGATGAGTGACCAAAACCAGATTTATTTACTAGATGGCCGAGAGGTAAGCTAAGCCATAGTATGTAATTTGGTTGGTGAAAAATACGTGTGTCTCTTGCACGTCGCGTGGAGAAGTCAGAGCATGGGCTTGAAGAGAAAATACACTCGTTATCGGAGTCATGCTGTTATATATTGTATCTATTATGGGGAAATATCAGAGATGCTTAAAAGAATAGTTGAACAAAAGACAATATGTACAGGCTGTTTTGAGCTGAACTGCCGGAATATGAAGAGCATTTTCTTGCTCTTTTCGTGGGTCAACCCCTTTTTCGGAACTTAGTCCTGCTGTCAGGGGGACACAGTTGAACGCACGTCGTCCGAAGCCCTCTGTCATAGTATTTATCATAATCCCCAGCATCAGACTGTGAATTTGGTACATTCTAAGACGTTTCGCCGACATCGTAGCCGACATCAATATTGAGTCTTGTCATTCTCCGCATTAAGCAACAAACTCTTCAGAGAGACAAGTGAAGTCAATCTCTCGACCAACGTTCTGCCGAAACGGTTACACTATCACAGGGGGATCGTAACTCTTTTACGAGTTTATACCCTGGTGCGGAGAATAGCAAGACTCACTAATGATGTCGGCTACGATGTCGGCGAAACGTCTTAGAATGTACCAAATTCACGGTCTGATGCTGGGGATTATGATAAATACTATGGTAGAGGGCTGCGGACGAGGTGTATTCGACTACGTTTAAATAAGAAGATCAATTATATCTAGGAAGACCAAGTTATTGTGGCCCTAGGTTTGGTTGCAGTCCCCTTTAGCTGTATTGTGTTGGTTTGACCTCGTTTTTAACTTATTGGTCAGAGCAAAAGTGATACATTGTGGAACGTACCTAGTCCCACGCCCTGAAAAGTCACTTTGATAAGTTGCAACTCTGTGCTAAGGATGACCCTTCTCACTAACGATGTCGGTGAAAGGTCTGGGGATGTACCAAATCAACGGTCCAATTCTGGAAATTATCGTTAATACTATGGCTGGGGACGCAGGACTAGGTACGTTCCTCAAAGTCTCTCTGTAACTTCGACCAAGTTAAGACCAATTTAATCGAAGATATGAAGACCAAGATGATGTGGCCCCCAGTATGGTCCCAGTCTCCTTTAGATGTATAGAAGTGGGTTGACCTCGTCGCAACTTGCTCTTGTTGTCAGGGCGACTTAGTGGAACGCACCTAGTCCTAAGTTCTCTGCCATAGTAGTTATCGTAATTCCCAGCATCAGACAGTGGGCTTGGTACATTCTTAAACGTTTCA